GGAAATGTTTGTGTTGCAGCTTAAAGCAGTATTTTATTTTGACCAGTCTTTCCAAGGACGTATTAATGTGCTATACGATTAGAGGAAAGTTCTGTAAGGAATTACTGTACTGTATTGCAGAAATCAGCCTTGAATTGCTTCTCCTGGAGAATTGTCACTTATATTTAACAGAATAAATAAACATATTGTTGCAGGTTGTCTAGCTACAGAGCCACTGCCTCACTTCCCAAGCCAAAGTGATGTCAGTAGGAGTATTTTTTGAAGCATGCAGAATTGAACAAATTGGTATCAAACAAACCAGAAGCAAAAAGGAAAGGGCTGAATATCTTGCCATAGTACTGTGGTCCATTTTATTTTTAGTTTGAACCTTAGAAAATCTTAAACCTCCCCTTCAAATTACATCATTTTAAATTGCTTTATTGATAAGCTTTTTCAAAAAACTTACATGATAGATGAATTGCATATGATAAGTTCTGCATCTGTCAAATTTCTGGCTAGCCAAGATTTAAAAGTTCAGCAGGAGCTGAGAAAAAAGGTGTTGTTGCACACAGTCTCCTATGCTCCAATGTTACTCTTCATTCAGGAAGAGGACGACATACTTTCATAGAAAAGCCAAATAAAAACTACATTTATTGGGAAAAAATTGGTCTGCTAGGTCCACGCTATCTTCGGGGATTGCAACTGTGCATTTTCAGAGAACATATACCAAATAGGTAAGTAGAAGAAAAGACTTTTTTAGCAATAAGGATACCAATTTTTATTGTTATTAAACTGATTTTCCCTGAATTAGAAAGATAAAAATCCTTCCTAAGAAAGAAGTCCATGAATAATGATTTTTTTTTTTTTAACTTCCTGCTTCTCTAGCAAAGACAGGAAATATGAAATTCCTGCATGCTTAACAAACTTGTACATATCTTTCACGCATAAGAGAACAGGATTATGGAGTACGCACAATGTTTTCCACTTTTAACACAAGTTTAACTACTTCTGTTTTCATATGGATTTGCAAGTTTTTCCATGAATATCTGAAGAGACACTTTATGGATAAAGTGAATAGGACAGAGAGAAAGAAATCTAAACTAACCTGCATATTACTTACAAAATATTGTAAGAGCAATTTTAATATCTCAAAAATCCTGTAACAATTTAAAATATTTAGTGATTCCTTACACCTTCTTAAAGAAGTCAGTGTTTCTTCCCTCATTCGATATATAAAAGAAAAAAATATATATATATATGCTGATTGAGTCTCCCAGGAATTGTTCTAACTCTCATTTAAATAGATTGGGCCTGATTGGTTACAAGTGATTACACAGAAAAATCTAGAAATAGGTCCCAGTTTACACTATTATTAGTCCTACACTTTCACATAAGGCAGATATTCTAACAGAGGCTCTGAGTCGAAACAAGATTTATTCTGACAATGAAAACTGTTATAGTAAAATATCATGAGGTGAATTTTCAGAATAGAAATCAATCTGGCCTTAAAAGAGAAATGTATTTTTAAACACTAATTTTAAGAATTCATCTGTTTTTTAATAGATAATGAGTTCAATAAACCCAGACAAGATGAATATACACAATTTTTAAAAACGGCATAAAGAAAGAAGAAAAATTTAACTATATGAAGAACTAATGAGGATACAACATGAGAATTGTTCCATTATTTCATTTATTACGTCTTTTGTTTGAATAAACAAAACCACAATATTTCCCAGTATAAAAGAACAATAATCTAAATACAATCAAATGTGACTAGAAAGATTTTTTTCACTGCAGATGGATGGCAGATTTCAGTTCTACATGAGTTAGAACATCCTGTTAGGATTCTGAAACCTTAGCCAGCACTGCAAAAAACTATCCTCTGTTTTTCTATACTGAAATGGTCTCAGTATTTTGAACAGTTAGTGTTAGCATCCATGTTATTATCACCATGCAAATGTAAAGGTACTGTCATTTGTAAGTGTTCTCTGCTTTCAAACAATAAGGTATCTTCAAGTATGTATATCACTAATGCTTGATTTGCTGGTATTTTCACTTCATAATTTTATAGCAAAAAAAATGCTATATAATGTAATTAATAGGATGAGCTTGGAAGAGGGGGAGATAGCTGCTTATTAAGTCTTTAATGATTAGCAATCTTTGGCCTTAACTCCAGAATTTCGTGACAATGAACTTAAATGTTAATTCATAGTTTATAACAGGATATCAGTTTGACACTTCAAGAATCCATCAATTTTAATGAAGTACTGAATCTAAACAATCCATAAAATTTGCCATAGGAGAATGAAGTAGTGATGCTAATAGTTACTGTTTTAGAACTATATTTAAATGACAGAAGATTGAGTTTTGTACTTGATGTAAGAAAGTCAAGAGATTAAACCCGCATATATTTGTCTATGCTGCTGTTAAATAAGTAAGTAGAGCTCATTTACTTGCATAACCTGATATAGCTCTAGTCTATTTACCAACAGCAATATAACCACTGAGGTAGAGAGCTAAGTACAGGCTCAAAATCCAGCTGGGAACATGGGCAGGTCTTTTTGCTCGTTCATATTCATGCAAGTTGAAACATTGCTTTTGACAACCGTGGAGATATATCTAAACATTGTAAAACTTCAGATAAATTCAACCACATCAAAGAAATGAGATTCCTGTCATCTATAGTTGATACTGCTGGATTCAGCAGTAAGACTTTTTTCTAAACTTGGTCTTACTATATAGGGTAACAAACAATAAACCAATCATTACATGTTACACAATCAACCATGCATCACAACAAAGCTGCTAGTCAAAAATTCACACAAGTAATGTAAGGATGCGTCTGCTTAAAAGAGCTGGAAAGGTAGCTGCTTTGGGTATTAAAATATTGTGTCTCTCGTTCCATCTATCAACACTGGAAAAAGGATATTTAAATAAGTCAAATAAAAATATAAATTAAGTCCTTGAAGAAAGCATTTGAACATTGGCATGATGTTACGTACATCAAGGGAGTACAAAACAAACCTTGCAACAGTTCTGTGACCCACATTTTCTTGTTTCCTCAATGATGATGCTTTCTTAAGTGCATCAGTGTCAGGAGCGGAGATTTTTCCCTACAGTTCTTTAATTTTGCATATTAGATGAGATAAAAAACCAATGTGTTTGTATTTGGTTGGTTGGTTTTTGTTTCATTTTAATCTGCTTTTAATTACAGCTGTTTCATTATTTTCTTAATTTATGAAAAACCAAAAACAAATAGCCTCATGCCATAAAACTAGTTTATGACTGATGTTTCAGTTTATGAATGACAGATTTTTTTTTTATGGTGGAATGGCAGACACACTTAGTGATCCTTTGATGTTTACAGTTAAAAAACATTTCTGAATAAAATTTAAGGTGTCTGCTCATTGACACTCCAGAACTCAAAACAAAGTTGCAGTAAATTATTCATTGTGAATTATTTGTTCAGCTCCATTCACTATACCTTTGGTTAACTTGATTACTACTAAACAGACTTTTCTGAAATATAATATATTCAAGGACTGAATCAAAAATAGGAAGGTAACCTCCACTGATACCATGAAATCTAGGAGGGCTTGAATTACAAATTCTTAATCATCTCTTTGCATGGATCATATACTTTTTTCTTCCTCTAAATTTTGTGTTTTCATTTCTTTTTAAAAATGTGTATATAAGTCAATGTCAGCAATCAGTGAACTAACTTACAAAAAGAATTTAAAACCTCCTGATTTTATGAAATAAAGATCCCTTCTAACTCTTAATTTTCTGAGTATGAGGTAAAGGTTTCTCTCTGCATTTTCAAACAGTAAATATAATAATGTTTTAACTTTCAGCTGAAAGTACATATTAGACAGCTCTGCCACAAGAATCAGAAAACTCAGAGCTTTGGAGGTTATTACAGTTGTTGACTGCACAATACCCCTATTTCTCACATTTTAAAGAATAATTGCTTTCTTGTAGGAGCAACAAGGCTCTTTCTAATTAACTTATATGCATTTTAAAGGAAAACTAGAAGTTCTTTTTGAAAGGAGCCAAGATATCTCCATATGGAAAGCCTGCAGCAGCTGGTGGCAACCTAGTTCAAGATGCTGCATTTAAACCTGTGGTTGTCTGTCATTGTCTTAAGGCTGACAGATCTGTCAGGAGTCAAACTTTTTTTTTTTTTTTTTTTAAAGTCAGTTGTTTTGTCTCTGTCCTGTAAGATTTCCTCCCCATGTATATAATATAACAAGAGAAGACAACATTCTGAAGGTGACTCAAAATAGCAATTAAGAATAGTTTAATATTTTTCTCTTTAAGCCATGTTCAAACACATTGATTTCTTACAGTCACTGGCAGAAATGGAACTTTTACAATTTAGTGAGCCACTGGAATGCTGTTTACTGTAGGTTGCCTACAACACTTTATAGACCAGAGAAAAAGACAGACACCAATCCTGAATTCTATATGCCCTTCCAAACACACTTTGAGTGGAAAAAAAAAACAACCAGTCCAAGAAAGAGCAGAAAACTTTTGTTCAATGTTCCATGTACTCAAGCTCTTTAATTTTAATATTTTTGAAAAATATTATAAAATGCTGTCATGTGATGATCTGACTTTTGCTAATAGATTGTATATATGCATTTTTAAGAGCACTGGTATTAAGACTTATTAAATAAGCAGATCATTATTAATAAAAGATCATTAAGGTTTGAAAAGACCTCCAAGGTTATCCAGTCCATCTGTCCACCTACAACCAATATTGCCCACTAACCATATCCCTCAGTACTACATCTACCAGATCCTTAAATACCTCCAGGGATGGTGACTCCATCATTTCCCTGGGCAGCCTGTGCCCAGTCACTCTGAGAAAGAAATTCTTCCTAACATCTAACCTGAGAAAATTATGACTAAATATGTCCATTAGCCACAGTTCCTTTTTCTTTTTTTTTTTGATCTTGTATTAAATGCAGAGGTTGGTGGCCCTGCATGTGGCGGGGGGGGGGGGGGGGGGGGGGGACATTCATGATCTTTGAGGTCCCTTCCAACCTGGACCATCCCATGTGTGATTCTATGCTGAGAAGTTCCAGATGGGACACTGCTCCCAGTTTGAATGCACCTGAGAAATGCTTTTCCAAGCTGACACAGAGAGAGGATGAGATCTGCATTTCCTCGATCATACAAGCAGCCCCTGGAAGAGATATGTTGAAGGATCAGTAAAACAAGTGTGTTTGCTAAACTGCTTCGGCAGGTGCTGTTGATCAGTATTAACTTAATCATGGCTGTTTCTTGAGGGCTGCTGAAATCACTGTGTTCCTTCCTGAGCCTGCAACCTGCTGGGAGTGACTCTGTCTCTGTGTGGGGCTGGCTGTGCTCCTGCCTTCTGCTCTGGGCAATGCAGTTTGCACCATGACCCTGCTACTAATCCAGTGAAATAGTTTGTCACTTTGGCTTCTGAGTAATCAAGAAAAGATGAGCATGCATTTTCTGCCTAAGGTACATACTGTATAAGAATGTGTTCATATTGTTCACTAAGACTGCTTATTTAAAAAGTATATAAGCATCTTTTGCTTCTAGGTTTTGGGGCTTTTTTTCCACTTGATAAAGATTTTGTAGAAGCATTAACAAAGCTGCTGTCAGTTACTGACTGAATCTGTGTTTTACATTCTGTTTCCAACTTGGCACAAATCCTAAAATTAATAAAATGATGTGGTACTCCTCCTAGTAATTAAAGCAAGATGATTATTCTACAGTGATAATCCTCTTAAATAGTGAGGCATATAAAAAAAGGAAGGATAATTCTTTGGTTAACAATGAGTATATTGGTAAATAAAAAAATAAATTAGTTTTGAATTGATAAACAGGTAATCCTGTTTGTTTTAGTCAGAATAATGAATTACCATTCAGGTAACAAATGAGCATTTGGTTTGTGACCCTGAAGATATAAAGTGGAATTCAGATAGTCCATGTGTTCTGAAATGACTGTTTTATCGACTTGCTGATTCTGAGCCTAAAGCATGTAGCTGAGGATAACAATCTGTTTCATCCTTCTGACTTCATATGTTCTGATAAATACTAAATAAATAAAGGGGTAGAAAATATTTCATTTGGAAATCTGCTTTTCTTTTGAACTCCTAAAACTTGTAGTAGAGCTGACTACACTATAAATGTTACACAGATCATGGATATTTTTTTTTTTTTTGCAAATGTATATTTGATGCTTGTTTTTATCTTACGTGAGCAGAACAGCTTTCTTAACACAAGCAAAATTACCTCTAGCACAGAGGCAATCAGCCTTAGGCATGAATATGTCTCAGCAGCCCTCTGGTAGAGAAGGAGATGAAGATGCCACTGTGGCATGTCAAGTATACGCATGCATCCTGCCACTTGGTTTTAGCTAGGAAAAGTGTGGCAGAGAGAGTATTAAAGGACTTAGATCCATTCACCCAGCTCATGCAGCTCACAATGTTTAGGCTGGTCGTTGTGGGGGCATTAAGAAATTTCCCTCTGCTTCATGTGTAAACAAGATGGCAGAAGTTAAGATAGATGGGTAACAGGCAAGTGTTGTTTGGCAACAGCAGTATTCTAATTACCAATCGTACTGAGAAACAGGTGAAAAATTCATATTCAAACTAACATAGCAGGAGCTTTACTACAGAACTAAAGAGAATAAGTTTATCCCTAGCATAGCATTGCCTACCTAAGCTTTAAAACTTTTCCTCTTCAACATAAAAAAAAAAAGCAGAGATAACTGCTACTTTCTTACAGCTCTATTTTGAAAGTAAAAGGCAATACAGTGGGAGAGAGTCAAACTGTCACCTGGAAATCTACACTTACATATCTATCATTTCTGTGTAGCTATTCTTTCTCCTTTGCTTATCTCAGATTACTGCTTTTGGAGCAAATGAACACATTTGTTCTATCCATTCTCAGCTGAAAAATCACACCTAGACTTTATTCATACAACTCTAGAATATGTTAGGGTACATTATTCGAACAACAATGTTCAAGTTCACACAAAGCAAGAACAGATAACCTAAGAAACCATAACCTAGAAAATCTCCTGAATGCTGAAAGATCTTATTATAATTCCTTATGCTGTTCCTCACTTCTGAGCAGATGTTTCTTCAAAAGTGTGAGTGTGGTTTGAACACAGAAATGGACATACCGTCTCTCAACAGGACTGACTTAATCCAATTTCTGATGCTATTAGCACTGACAGCTTTTAGAGGAGCAGCTGTAGTTTTGATTTGTGTTCTCAAAGAATTTGCTCTATCAAGGAACATTTCCAAGTATGACAGGACACACAAAGCCTTCACAAAAGGGATCCCTTATGTAGCATAAAATGATAGGATCAAGGGATTACAGGTGTTCGACACATTTCTATTTTAAAACAATATACAACTTCCTGGATTCTTAACTACATTTTGTCTATTCCAATCAGTCATAAACTCTTGAAAACATTCTCAGAAAGGTAAGTAGGGGGAACTTCATAGGTGAACTGCTAAGGGAGCAATTAGATTGATCAACTTTGTATAAGTAATTTAGTTCTGTATTTAGATTCTGGCAAAGAGTATAGAGGGCTTAAATGTTTCCATTAACACTTCGCTATATGCATTAAAGACTAAAAAGCTACTGCTTATTTCTTTAACTAAGTAAACTTGACAATTATATTGAAAATTACAGTGTATCAATGGTAATTCCTAAACCAGAGAAGAAGAATAGTCTTAATAGGGTACATCACTAGCAGCTCCGTGTGATCACTCTTAAAAAGATAAATCATAAAGCTGGTACAGTAGTATGACTTACAGGTCAGTGATAGGAGGCCTTGGAGATAAGTTATCTTCTTCATAGAAATCTTTCAGGGAATACCATGTCACTATTACAGTGCAATAAATACAAACTGAACTCGTGTCAAGACCTAGTATAGAGATTTTTACTGTATAGAGGTTATAAGCAGTAGTGCTTACAACATCATTATCTTATGGTCTTCGGGAATACCAACCTCTAAACAGTTTACATTATTCCAATTCTCTTCACTGAAGATATATAAATAATACTAAGAGGCTTTGTTCAATTGATCCAGAATCAAATGGGAATAATTTATGAGATTATTTCTTTACCCTTCAAGTGAAGGGCTGCTCAGAGACCTATTTGGCCACATTTACATTAACTTGCACTGGAAGTCAATTGAGATACTACCATGAATTTATAGTAAAACTGGGTTTACTTACTAGAGATTGACATAGTTCCCCAGGTTCTGGAAACCAGAAACTGTTTTTAACTGCCTCTTTGTGCAACCTTGAAAAATTCATGTTTTCATGATCTCAAGAATTTTTTTGTTTTCCTACTCCAAAATAAGGCAGTAAGACTCTCAGGCAGGCAAACACTAGAAACTAAGTTTAAAGAACCATGAGTCTAGATGAAGTGAACTACAAAAGTACTTCCCAGAACTTTTTGACACACTTGTGTTCTCACCTTATTCTGTCACTCAGTGTGACAAATCCAAGACTGGTTTGTGGATCTGGACATGATAACATCTTGGACATACTTCCTTACTGAACCCAGAGAGGTGTTTGCTTCTAATAAGAGAAAATTTACTTTAGCCTTTCCCAGAGCACAACACATCTTTTCTTCACTTACATTTCGCTGTTAGCAACAAGGCTAAAAATTGATGAGACAATCTGTCTTCTAGACAACTAAGACCAGCCATCAGACAAAATTTGCAATAGCAGTAACAGACATAGCAGATAGAAAAAAAATATATACAAAAACAATACCTTAAAAAAAAAAAAAAAAAACACACACACACAGGCACTGTAGAGCAGTAGCAAGCAATAAAGGAAAAAATAAATTGGCTCACCCAACAACCACTGACAACTTCAGAGAAGTACAACTTCCATCTGGAAAAACACTGCTTTTTTAGCTGCTAATCCTTAAATGAGGTTGAGAAGAGGTGGATCCAGGCTCTTTACCTTCTGATCATTCAGGTGTATTGCTTGCACCTGAGCTCACTGGGTTAGCCACACCTTCCCACCTGGTGCTCAAGAATTGGTTTAGGCTGTGACCTGGCAATTCCACTGCACAAGAGAGAGCAAGCAAGGCATTGCAGGATTTAAGGCCTAGTATTTTATCTGGTAAACTGTCATAAAGGATGAACGCAATGTATAAGACAGTATACTAAAAAGTAATTGTAACTTTGAGGTTAATTTTTTTTTTTTTTTTTAAACTAAGGTCAATATGAAAAAAAATAAAATACTTTGCCCAAAATACACATTCTGATTTGTTAGAATGTTATTTCCAACTCTTTGATGTTATTCCAGAATTGCTGTTTTTCATTTTGAATGCTTCTTTGTAAAATTTTGGCATATTGTCTGTCTATAGGTTTAGTTACAGTAACAGATCACAGGCTAGAATGACAGTAAAATTGCAGTCTCAAAATAAAAGAAAGTCCACCCCATGCCCAGAAGAAATTATTTTTCCTGGATGAATGCTTCAGCAGACTTCCCAGTGGTACCTCCTCAGGCTGCTACTGCCTGCTAGCACGCTGAACTTGTCAAGTGCTATTGGGAAATGTCATAGATTTCTTTGACTTCTCCTTGTTCGGATCCTCAACAGGAGAAGATGCTTCATCTAAGATTAAACAGTTGTTCCATATAAAATATCTTAATTACTAGAAAAAACAAAATAAAAACAAAACCAAAAAAAACTTGTGATTTGCCATGGAAACTACGTTGACAGCTAGTGAAACGATGTTTAACATGTAGTATGACTGAATCCCTTGCTCCTATTCTGATCAAGATGGAAAGTTTGATGTGAGACATAACTGTAGAATATCTCTTAGAAAATCCTTTTACATGACAGCCTTGTTAAATATCTTGTTTTGTGGTACATTCTAAAGGTTTTAAGTTAACTTTTCGGCTTTTTTATTTCATGTTAAGAGTTTCAGAAGGAAGAGAAAATAAGCAGTCTGTGAAGCTCCAGATCTCCTTATTCACTAAATAGGTGTATGTGATAATTAGTTAATTTGCTTGTAATTCTGAATATGGGAAGCTGATATATCAACCAGAACTGTACAAAACAGAATGACATATTATATATACATATATATATATAACATATAACATCAGAAAATACAAAACCAAATAATAACAAAATAAGAGAAAAGAGAATTTTCAGAATAATAATTAAATAAATAAGTTTAAGGATGAATCTGTCATGAGCCAGGTTCAAATCAGATATCAAAGACTTACATATGTATTTTATGCTAGCAAATGTGCTTAGAAATGAAATGTATCTATAAGAGTAAATATCAAAAATGATTCTATTAGCATATATGAATAGGAGCAGATCTATAGAGAGCAACACTGTTAAATATGAGCATTCACACTAAACAGAGTATCAATATCTTCACTCTATCTTCTGCTGAGGTTTTCTCTTGGAGAAATTCAGAACATGTACCCTAAAACATCCCTTATGTGGTTTTTCTTGTCTGACTACTCCTGGAGATACTGCTTCAGAAATTTAATCTCAATCCAGATTAATATGATGATACACTTTTTGTGTTTGCAAAAAACCACTAAAATAGACACTGTGATACCTTTATTTTCCAGTATTGTCAGTTACTGATATCTGAGGCTCAAAATATAAAGCCCTCAGACTGAAGGGTTTGGGAATATTGTCATTTTTTATTATTTTTAATTCTTAGTGTTTTTCTCTTATTCTTTTAAATATTATGTGAATTATATGCTCAGTGTTAAGCAGTAATTTCATATATCATGAGTATTTGTATGAGTAGAACATGATCTGTGGGAATTAAGTTCAAAATACTAGAATGAATGAAGTCACTGAGATTAATTCCCAAGAAAAGGAGAAAATTCTGATACTGAAACAGCCTTAAAATAGTTTATGGTACTATCCTTACCAAGCACAGTTGCCTAAATTAGTTACTATGCTAAATGTAAAAAAAAATAGGATACCTATTTAAGCATAACTAGTGTAATGCTATGGATGTGCTACCAAAATGTCTCAGAAGAGCATCTGGAGGATGCTTGTGGGGAGCATATGTATGAGCTTGAAGAAGCATATGTATGAAGTGAATTTTTTTGCAGAACAGATGTCAGATATGTTGAACTGTGATACAATGTAGATCGTTTTATTGGCTTCCTTGTAAGGGACAGTTTTTAAAAGAACACTGACTAATCTCTTTTACTTTCTTGTACATCATCAAGGGAGAGAGATAAGTCAGTGACCAACTTCTTGAAGGGATGAAGAACTCCTTCGAGGTGAAGGGAGGCCAAGAGAAAAAGGCCACTTTCCTTGAGGCAAGGTAATAAGAGGGGGGGGGGGGCATCCAATCATGGGTTTGGAGGACTTTTTTTTTTAAGCTCTTGACAACGGAGCCCTTGACATTTCTCTTTTTCCTTTCTGAGGCCCTGCCTCCCGGAGGGGAAAAAAGAGGATGAAAAAACTCATAGGAAATGTAAGTGATCTTTATTGACCTGTGACTTTTGTGTAACCATGGCCTCTGGCATGTGACTCGATGTGCATTTCTTGTCAAAACAGGTAAGGGAATTGTGTGCTGCCCTGAAGGAATGTATAGTGTGTGTCTGTACAGTGCTGAAAGGCATAAGATTGATGTGAGGGCTGAGGTGAGAAGAGGAGGATACAAGAAAATGTGAGAGGAAAGAGTGATTATAAAATCAGTTATTTTTTGTTTCCTCAGTACTGACAGCTGATAGAGGATTCTCAGAGTTATTGAGGTATTCTTTTTGTTTTGTTTTGTTTTTCTAACCCAATATTATTCTTGTTTTATCACTCAGTGTGTGGTGTGTTTTAGCAGTGGTGATGGTTGCAGTAGGTCACATCTGCCTGTGCAGATTTTTACGAGTGCAGCATGTAGTTCATCATTGCATCTTGTTCATCACTGGCACAAATGCATGGCCAATGGTAGTGACTATGCTGAAAAATGGTGTTTTCTACCTGAGAATTTGCTCTATCAAACAGTGTTCTTACGTTGTTTGTATCTGTTGCAGTTTCCATGGAAATATGTAGGAGGCATTACTTCCAGAGTGACCGATGTAAATATCTGAGTTACACTATACCTTTTGGATTGAAGAAAGAATGAGAAGAGAGCATTTGAAGGAGGATTTTAGGAACTAACTTGAAAAAATGAAGCATATGAATAACATTAACACAGGAGTTTTATTGACCTTTTGACCCTTTTGAACGAGTATTCTGTGCACTACTTTCTGAGATTAGTTGACACATTTACAGACCTTGTCAAAGAGAAAAGGAAAGAATGAGAGTGGTGGGAGGGGAAGACAGTTCACTGGTCCCTGATGTAATACCATCATCCAATCCCTTTGTGGTTACTTTCTCTGGTCTCACTTCATAGAAACATTTCACAGAAAAAGACAATTTCTCCTTGTGTTTCAAGCTGACTCCTGCTCCCTTGCATCAGATTTACCTAACTGTTTCATCCTGGGAGCAGCAAGATCAGACCTGAGAGCTCATGTCAGCAGCAGCAGTCTCTCTGCCAGATGTGCCTATGGGGCAGAGAACAAAGTGTTTGCAAGCTTGCAGGGGCTTGTTTTCCATCTCTCAAAAATGCTCACTTCCGAATAGCTGACACTAGCAGCTCTACTAAAGTGTCCCACAGAACAATCTATCTGAATTGTAAAATATCCCATAAAACTGCTTTGTTCCCACTGGTATTGCCCTCTGCCCCAGAATTCAAACCTAATTTGAGGAACACTTTGAGGAATGGAAATTCAAAGGAAGTTTCAGCACAAATATATTGAAGACTGATTTATAAATCACAAAGGGTGCCCTGCTTCAGTGCTCACCCCACCTTACAGAGTAAGGCACTCTGGGTTTTGTGCCTGTATACTTCATGAGCACATGCTGCATTAGGTGCTTCAAGGTAAGGTATGCAAAAGGCAAGGAAAAAGGAAAAAAGAAAAAGAAGGGAAAAGAAAAGGAAAAAGAAAAAGAAGTTATAATAAAAAAAGTTATAAAAAAAAGAGGGCTCAGGTGTGAGTACTGCACATAAGAGCCTGTAAATCCCTCTCTTCCAGGTAGGATGTACAACTGATAGGCATGTACTGCAGTTTGGTGAATAACCCACACCACACTTTTCTCACTAGAGTGAGAAATACTTAGGGATGTTGTTCATTTATACTTAGTGAATACTCAGGGATGGCTGTTCACTTTACAAAATTAGTAGGAGCTTTTACCTATATTAACAATCAGGCTTGATTCCATGGGTTGAAACTGGGATTTGGTGTTAGATCTCCCACTTCTCATTTAAGTGTACTAAGTATTGGCTTACTTGGAATTCCGTCTCTCAGAATTTCTCTCCTATTATAACTATTCCATTTTTTGTGTAAACAATAAAATATTAATTAAGCTAGAGGAAAAAGAAAGGAGGCAAGATTAACTCCATAGCCTAGTGATTAGGGCAATCATGTGGGAAAGTCAGATTCACGTCCTTCTTCACTCAATTATTTATACCAAATGGAATAGTGTCAGCTGGAGAGAGTGAAAGATTTACCTCTGACCACGCTATAGCCTAATGGTTACAGTAGACTCTGAGGAGGTTGACAAACCAGACTTAAATCCCTTTGTCAGTCAGAACAAGGGAGGGTTATGAACCTGGTTCCACAGGAACTAGCTACTAAGCTGTATTGCCTGATATTTTAGGTTTGTTTATTAGGTTACTTTGGGAAGTGTTCGTATAGATAGGAACCAGAGGAATGTTTGGGTTTGTATGAGTGTGATGTGTAGTGGTGTTTTTTTGTTTTTGGTTTTGTTTTGCTTTTGTTGTTGTTGTTGTTTTCACTATTTTAATATAACTGCTGACTAGGAGGTCTTGTCATACGGTGTTTATATTATATGGT